ATTCGAATTCAGCATAAAATTTTTACATCTGAATCACTATCTATTTTAGTTTTTCGATGCTTCCTCGGCTAGGGGACCTCGAAATACCCTTTTTGGCGGAACACAAGAAAATTGAGGTAAATTGAAGATTATGCCTTATCAAACTATTTCGGACACTTCTAATATGGATATTCATGATCAGCGTGGTCGATTACATATTATTAAGTGGGTTTGCAAAAAATCAAAAATGAAAAGTTCTCCAGAAATCCTGGAGGGGACCGTTTTTGGAACGAAGTTTAGTAAATCTAATAAAATTTTTGCGAATAAATGTTTTTACTCTAATGATTACATGTAAGTGAAATTAAATTTTTGAATTTTCTTCTTTTCTCTATTTCTACACGTCAATTTAATAAAATCATCATATATATATATACGTATACACTTTGACCTATTTGTTTTGCACACATGACAATCAATCTTAAAGAACAAGAGCTTTGACACATCAAAAGAGAAAGACTATTGACTCTAATTTTTGAACAGTTTAATGTCACCACCATTTTGTCATCTTTTAAAATTACATTTTACTTTTTTAGTTTAGTAAGAGAGTGTAAGTACAATTTGTGTGTAGCTACGACAACAAAGAAATTGAAATCTGTAAAATATTTCATTCAGAAGTGCTATATCGATATACGTTTATCCAAAATTGATGACAAAAAAGTATTTTCGTACCTAGGTCTATTATTTATTTATTTTTGGTAATGGACATGTGTTGTGCAGTAGGATGATACTGATGAATATCTCAATCGTATGCAAAATAAAAAAGAAAAACATGTACATATTAGTACACAAATCATTATTATTTATTTTTTTGTCCTTGTGAATTTCACCTACGATCAAAGGTTAGCTACTGAGTAAAATGAGAGAGAGACAGAGAGAGTGAGAGAGAGAAATAGAGAGAAATGACGGCTGACATATACTATTCTTTCAATTCTAATTCAATATATGTAATATAATTTGATGTGTTTTTTATTAAATTTACATCTGTTTATATACGTGTCAAAACTTACAGAATTTTTTTTTCTTTGATGTTAAACGAAGGAAATCATTTGATGGAAAAAATACGTTTAAATTTATGTTATTTCAATTGCTATTAAAAAGTTTTAAAAACGTAAATAAACGCAAAATTGTTCAGTTTAATAAAAAAAACAACAAAAAAAAGTTAATTATCTGTGAAACTAAGAGAAAATGTGTACGTTATTAATTTATATTGAACTATTTTTTGAAATAACTTCTTTCTAAATAGTAAGTTAAAGAATGGACTGATACTCCTGGAAAATCTACAACTGTATAACAGATATTTTGTTAGTTGAAACGTCGTACCTCTTCATAAAAACACTGTTTTGTATATACCTCTGAATTTCTTTTAGATTAAAGTATCGTTTTTTATTGAATTATACAATTTTTTTTGTTCGTATCAGTTGTACTATTGCATTTATATGAATTATGGTGAGTACTAACAATAGTTGACTCATTCTTACGAGGGAACATATTTAGATGTCAAATCGACAAATTTTTTCTGAAAAAGTTTTTTTTTAATGTTAAATCCGAATCGAATAACTGTTTTGATCCATGATCCATTTGTTTGAAGAAAAACAAAATAAAACCCATTTGTTTTATTACACAAAACAACAATATAATATCACTTATCTGAAAATAAATGGGAAGCTTAACTCTAAAATTAAATGTCTGATTAAATGTGCTGTGTGACATTGTCAGAAAAACATGTCAGATTGTTGGAAAAATTGTATGGTATACACAATTTGATCTTTTCTACAAATGATATAGGTAAGGGGAATTTTTATCCGATAAAAAAATGTCGGTTTTCAGATAATCAAATCATCAAATGCCTATAGATCAAAACAGTTATCCTATTCAGATTCAGCAGTAAAAGCTGCCTCAAAAAATGTTTGTCTTATTCACAAAAAGTATATGTTTATTCGTTAGAATTTTATTCTTATTAAACATTTTTTAATCTTATGAAAGTTTGATTTTCATCTTTGGACTATTTCAACATCAATTTTCTTATTCACTCATTTGTTTTAGAAGAAAATGTTCATATTTAATTATGTCATCAAAACAACGTTTATCACCAACAAAACTATTTAATACAACAAATTTAAATTCAAATAAAAAAGATTTTTCAAATAATATTTTAGAAAATATCGTACATTGGTCTCAAACATGTCATGATACTATACTATGTTGTAGTAGTAGTAGTAATAGTAGCGATGATTCTTTCTCAAAATGTTTAATATTGCCGCTGAAGGGTGGCTCCGATAATGGCCAATTTGTTTATTTTGGTGATGCAATTTTACTAAATAATAAATCAAATGTGAAAATAGTCGAAGGCGGTAAAATAAATCAAGATGAAATAATAATTAAAATTGATCAACATAAAATAGCCGGATGTACGCTGCAAGATGTTCAAACATTAATTCAAACAAAATCAACGAATGGACAAAAAATTATATTAAAAACGTGTAAAACAGGTGAATAGATGAATGAAACAGTCTTCTTTCTTACTTTTTTTTTTTCATTCTATTTTTACGTTCAGATGAGAGAGACTATATTAGCCGAAAGATGGCAGTACACGACAACTATTTGTATAGGTCTTTAAAACCGTTGTTACAAAGCTTTACAAGCTTTTATCGTTGATTTCAGCGAACCACAACTCATTTTTCAGAACTCGTCCCATTTCTTTTAAAATATTTTTTCTGCTTCGTCACTTTTTAAAATTATTTCATGCAGCAGTATTTTTCCTCTTCGATGACGATATTCTTAAACTTTCTTTCTTACAAAACAGTTATAGACACAATAAGAAATCAAAAATGTTATATTTCGTTTTTCTACAAAGCGGACGACCATCATGTCGTTTACTGTTTGTGGATTTATATTCGATAGTCATGAGGTAATGATCATGTCTCCAACCGAAAAAAAGTTCTACTCTACGTAGGAGCCTGTCATGCCAATTTTCAGATCGTCTGTTCTGCGAACAAAAAAATTTTTCTCTAAGAGCCTCGTTGGCGCTCTCTCGTGGATTTTCCACCTCTCATGCATCTGTGATTGATTACACATGACTGCAGTACAATTCGTAGAAATCATTTACGATTTGTTGAGCCAGTGTGTGAAACTTTGAACTTTTTCAAAAGATTTCAGACATCTGATATATTTTCCAATTTTTCAACAATATTTTTTAGTAAGAGAAAATAAAAAGTTATTATACTTTTCAAACGTCTCTTACGAGGGAACTATCCCAAGTGTTAATCACAGATGCTAACGAGAGGTACCCCAATCGATAGAGCTCGACGAGCTGATTCTAGTGGCATAAAGCATTTTTCCCAATGTTTCTTGAAGACCCAGTT